CCCGCCCCGCCCCCACCCCCATGCCCACCCCCCCCCCCCCCCCCCCCCCCCCCACAGCAGAAAAATGAACTGGCAAATCCTTTTTGCACAAAAATCCACTCGTAAAAGTGGGGAACGTGATAACGTTCGCTCCACATCAAATAAAACGAGCAAAGAAAACAAAACAAAAAACCAGCTGGCTAGTCTACAAAAGATTTTAAATGGATAATATTTATCAGAAATGCCATTGAATAGCCAAGAAATTAACTAACAAATAATGAAGCCACAGCGTTAACAGATGAAGAGAGTCTGTGAAGTTAACAGAACAATAGAGTGTGTAGAGCTAACAGAGCAACGCAGGCTCTAGAGTTAACAGTTCAATGGAGTGTGTAGAGTTAACAGAGCTACATGCACTGTGGAGTGTAACAGAGCAACAGAGTCTGTGGAGTTAACAGAGCAGCATTGTCTGTAGCGTTAACAGATCAATAGAGTCTGTAGAGTGTAACAGATCAACAGAGTCTGTAGAGTGTAACAGAGCAACTCAGACTGTAGAGTGTAACAGATCAACAGAGTCTGTAGAGTGTAACAGAGCAACTCAGACTGTAGAGTGTAACAGATCAACAGAGTCTGTAGAGTGTAACAGATCAACAGAGTCTGTAGAGTGTAACAGAGCAACTCAGACTGTAGAGTGTAACAGAGCAACTCAGACTGTAGAGTGTAACAGATCAACAGAGTCTGTAGAGTTAGCAGAGTAAAAATGAAGCGAGGACAAACAAACATTTGAATGCAAGTACATATGTTTTCCCTTGTAGGGTAAACTTAAAATACAGAAACCAGAAACCAGAAACAACGCAAGAACCTATTCAGAACAAAGAACAAAAACGAACCCCAAAAACATAATAAAACCTGTCGCCCTGGATGAATGTAGGTGTAGCTGCGGAATGCACGTGGCCATGTACATATTTAATATTTATTTCATATTTTCATCCATTGTGACTGGTCAAAGAATTTCGATGAATTTGTTATGCAACAGTTACGCTCCCCAGCAACCAGAAATCAAAGAACAAATCTGCATTTGGAGTTCCAGCAATGCCGTTCATCAAATTAGTTGATTCAATTTTGCAAATGTTCCCAAACAATTCCATTTCGTTCTGGTCAAATATTTGCGCTCTATTTCTGACAAAAATGTACGCAGAATAATTCTTTTAAATTCACTCCACAAATGATATTCGCACGCTGAAATGATTTTCATAATTGTGGCAAATATCGGTTATAATTGCCATCATTTGTGGCAATTGTGCATCGAGGTGGGATCGGGGTTTGTTGCGGGTCTTTGATTTTAGTTTATGATTTCTAATTTGCTCAAACGATGCCAAATGTGTATGTGTGGGTGCACCATCAAATGCCCAATGAAGCGCATGCACACGTTATGTCTATTTAATTGGCCACCATTAAAATTGGTCGAGAATTTATGACGAGTTTGCTCGTACTTGGCGCATATAATTTATGATGACGGCATCTAAGACGGCTAATGATTACACATATTAATGCACACATGCGTATCTATGATGAGAAAGTGAAAGCTGGGCTAACAATTCCCATCAAATACACTGACCTGAGCAGCGAGTTCCATGGAATTACACACACGCTCGGGCAGTCCAATTTGAGCTCTCTCTGGGTGGTCGTCTCTACATTTATTTAGCTTTACGGTGAGAGCATTTAGGGTTATCGTTAGGCATGCAGAGTGGGTGGCAATTGGCTTGGCTTGGCAATTTGATAATGTAATTAAAATGGCAATTAAAACGTCACTCTCTCTGTCTCTGTCTCTGTCTCCCTCTCTATCTGCTTGCAGGGCGAAACGGCTGGTCAATCGGAGCATGTGGTCATCATTGTGATTGTGTTTGGCCTGATACTCGGCGGCATGGTCGTTACGTTCATCGTCAATTGCATACGCAAGATAATACGTGATCAAAAGATAATACGCGTAAGTACTGCCAAACTGTATTCAAACCCAACTTTAGACTTTTCACGCGCGAGCCAAAAAGAAACCCAAAAAAACCCCAAACCCCCGCCTGCCGCTCTCTCTCTCTCTCTCTCTCTTACTCCCGCTCTAGCTCGCTGTGTGCTTGTGCCCCCAAACACACACACCCTCCCCCCCTCCCATAGAATATAACTTTAAGTGTTTGCCCCATTGAGTAAAGTGCATTGCCGCAAAATGAACATTTATTTTCGACATTTTTTTGCATTTTTCCTTTGCTTTTTTGTGTGTGTGTGTTTTTTGTTGGTATGTATTAGAAACGGAAACGGAAACGTAAACTTAAACATATTTATGGCCAAACTCTCTCGTATGTGTGTGGAAATACTCGTTGAAATTTATAGAGAACCGTGCGTAAAATGTAGCTCTAAGTGCACCGCAAACCCAAACCAAAAACACCAAAAAAAAAAAAAACGAACCAAAACTATTCCATTTTTATGGCAATATTCAAAAGTGACAACAAAATGACCCTCCAGCAGCAGCAGCCGCAGCCGCAGCCGCAGTTAAATAATTTACTTGAACAATGCGTTTTCGGTGCGGCTTCCAATTGATTGAACATACACAAGTACATATGTATGTACATACTTAGCTCATTTTGCACATGTAAACATAATTGAACATGCGTTGACTGTTTGACAAGTGAATCGGAATCAGCAGCGGTATCACAATGCGTGTGACAGGCGCAGAGAGACGCAAAGCTGCAACGGAAATGCAACGATGGACAACTGCTAGAGCTGACAATTAGTCGATAAGTCGATAGGTTCAGTGTGAATGTCGGGGAGCTGGAATATTGGCTGCATGTAAGGCAGGAAATGAGCAGCCAACGGGTGGTTCCACTTGGACAGGCCCTTTGGGGTTGTGCATTCAGAAGTGGCAGTAGTAGAGATTTGATATTGTTAGCTGCTCAAGTCGCTGCTTGAATGGCTTCCATTTAGGCTTAAAATATGCCAAGTTTCCAGTCGACTTTCGGTGCTGTTGAGTGTTGGATTTTGACTAGTAATTGTTATGGCAATGCAGGGTATTACCACCAATTAGCGAAGCAGCTTGGAGAGGCAACGCTGAATGTTTGTGGCCACCAGCTTAGGGCCAAGTGCAGCTTAAGGGTAGGAATGCTGCGAGGCAGCTCAGCCCCCACTGACGACATTAGCAAAACAATAATATGCAGCGTGATAGGAATCTTGTCGCCTGTTGTCTGCTACAACGGAATCTGCACAGAAGGGAGCAAACATTTCTCACTGTCTGCTCTGGGGTTGTTGTGCTGCTGCCAAGAATTTGCTTGGCATCGAACCGCGAGGCAGGAAGCAGCAGATCTAGCAGCAGATTCTAATGCCGTCTGACACTTTGAAATGTAAAATAGACTTTGACTCTGACTTTGACTTTGACTGCGACCACAAACAGAGGAGAGCAGAGGGAGATACCCACACTCAAGTTGACTAATCAACACAAATGAAATTTGTCAGTTGAATGCGCAAAAGATGTCTGGAGCTCCATTCGCATTTTGTTAGCTTTGACAGAGAGGAGCACCAGGCCACGGAGCAATCGCTTAAGAGGCAAACTCTGGCTCAGCAAAGAGCAAACGCAGAGTCGAGGCAGAGTCGAGTCGAGTGTCTGTTTAATCAAGCTGCAGACCGCGTCTATAAATATATGACCAGGCCTCCATCCGCCACGCCTCTGGCCACATCCGCTAGCACACAGATCCAAAATCCAAATACACACACACACACACACACACACACACAGAGACACACACACAGATACTTAATTAACTCGCTTGGCAGAAGGGGCAAAAGGAGTCCCCCATGCCAGTTGGCTTCATTTTGTCCTTTGTTTTTTCTTTCTTTTTTGTTGGTTGGTTGGTTGCTGGGTTGCTGGGTTGGTTGGTTAGTCTGCTCAACTCATTGCCGTGCTATCCCGCTGCCCGTTTTTGCCACAATGATATTCAATTTGGCCACGAACCTGCCGAACCATTGGAACCACGGACTGGCATGGCATGTCTCACTCTCTCCATGCGCCAAACAAACAAAAAACAAGTCAATGCTGGGCTAAAGTCAATGTCAAAATTGATGCTTCAATATGACCCCCAGGGGAAGTTGTACTCACGGCAAGAGTAAGAGTCAGAGTCGAAGTCAGGGAGTCACGACTGGAAGGAAAATGCCATGATAAATGAAATGAAATGAAAATGAAAATGAAATGACTTTTGCCAGGACAACCAGAGACTTGACAACAGCAATTGGCAGAGAGAGAGAGAGAGCGAGAGAGAGTTTTCTCGATATTGATATCGACAGCAGATGAAACTTTATGCCCAACGAAAAGGACGAAAAACCACAACAACAACACGCCAGAAGGAGCCGCACAGGAGGAGTCGAGGAGTCAGCTGTGAGAGGCTCAAGCCCAGGCCATGGCTCTGTAATTCCGAGCTTTCATATTTATAATTCCATTTGTTGCAAATAGAACAAAAACAAAACAATAACAGCAAGTGTGTGTGTGTGTGTGTGTGTGTGTGTGTGTGTTCTCTGCACATGAATAACCCAAAAGCTACTTGAACTTTTGCTGACAAGCCACAAACGGGGCAAATTTCGTGCAGGTTGTTGCCTGTTTTTTTTTTTGTTTGTTAGAAGAGGTCACCGGAGCAGTGACACTTCAGCGCAATCGATTGTGTGTGCCCCCCTTTCGCTTTCACTTTCACTTTCGCTTTCACCTACTCCTTCTCCTCCACTGCCACTGCCACTGCCACTTCCACTTCCACTTCAGTGGTTTGCCCATCGTTAATTGTGTGTGAATGAATAAATATTTTACAAAAAATATCAACAAGAATACAAAAAAACACTTCATACTTCATTTAATAGCAGCGAGGTGTTGGATTATTTAATTAATTTATCTGTCGCCACCACTCCACAGTAATTAGCACACACACACACACACACACACACACACACACACACACCACACACAGATACACGCTCGTTGTGCATGAAGTCCGTAGGCGATAGGCTGCCGCACATTGAACATCTTTTTGAAGCAATCCTGGCATCTATCTGCAGAGTTTATGTGGGAAAATGAATTACTACTCCGCTGGCGGTGAGTTCTCATTGGAATTTAAATACAAATATCCCAGAAGAGTAACCGCCAGAGCATTCACCTTTCGGCGCTTCCGCGTATATCCATTTGTAATGCATTTTTGGTGCATTTGTCAGCGTCGATCAACATTTCTGGGTTTGGTTTTGGTTTGTGCTTCTGATTCTGATTTGGGTTCACAGCTCGGGATGCTATCAGGTCGCTGTTCAGTGATTTATGTAATTTAATAATGAACGCCCCGCCACCCACCGGTCCGCCCGTTAATTTGCGCCACGAGCAAGAGGCGCTTACGCAACCCAATGGCCAAATGCAGGATGACGAAGCCCACGGATTGACGGCGGTTGCGGCTAGGGGGAGTTGCAGGTTGCAGGTTGCACGTTGCACGTTGCACGTTGCACGTTGCAGGTTACTTGTGCGATAGTGGCACGGCAGACAAAGCAGTCAAAGCATGTTCCAGCTAAATTGTAAAACAGCCGCGTCCGCTGACGCCGCACAATGGCCCGAAGCCGGAACAATCGAGCGGCAACAATGGGGCTCCACGGCATAATGTGAACTCAATTTGTATGGCCTGTATATCTGAGTTTTGCGGCCCGTGAGCACAGTGAATGGACTACATAATTGGATAGGATAATCCTCGTACTGCGACTCGTACTTCTTGGCTTCCATTTATGGCTTTGTTGATGAAGGAGGGATAAGATCAAAGAGGAGTGAAAGGTAAAAGGTAAAAGATTGCAACCTCCATGAGGAAACTTCCACTATTAAGTGAATGAAATCCCCATTGCTGCCTCCAAGTGACGAGTGTTAGAAAATCAATCTCTGATTTAGCCAGTGCGTGGCTGAAGCAATTTTTGTTTGCTTTTTGACGCAATCAGCCCTACTGTTCACACACCTGAGTAACGGCACTACGGCAGCAACGGCAGCTGCACACGAGCCTCAATCTGATTATCGCCTCGAGTGCTAGATGATGCTTGATGGAGTGCTGGTGCTGGTGCTGGTGGTGGCGGAGGTGGCGGTGCGTTGATGGGGATTATGCGGATGATGATGATGATGATGATGATGCTGATGGGGATGGGAATGGAAATGTTAGACGACAAACGGCAGATGGCAGAAGGGAGAAGGGAGAAGGGAGCTAGGCACTTCCAGCGACCCTTCAAACGCTTTTGGAACGTTCGCAAATTATGCCATCAATAAATGGCACAAGGACCAAGGACTAAGGTCAAGAGTGGGTCGGGAGGTAGAACGGGTTAAGTTGCTTCCTTTATTGCCAGGCTCTGGCATTTATGAAACTGCAGCGCAGCACATCAATTTGCACAAAGCGCACATCAAACCAAATCAAATCGAATCGAATCAACGTCAGCAGATTTGATAAAAGAAAATCATTCAGCGATCGGAACGGTGCTGTTGGGGCTGGGTTGGGGTTGGAGGGCAAGCACTTAAATATTCCCATTTCTGCTCACCAAATGGCGTCCGGCAAATGTGTACAAGAAACGGAAAGAAATAAACTAAAAGGAAAAGAAAGCAACTAAATAAACGAAATGGAGTGGAGGAAGAGTGCACGGGGTAAAGAGTGATAGTAGCATTCTAAGTACGCAGATTGTAATAAAACATATTTCCATATTCCACTTGAATACTTTACGTTTTTATACCGCACTACCCACACTCCGTGCTTGTGCTCTCCACTGTGCGGAGCTACTTCTAAGAGCCTCCCCCCTCCCTTCACAACCGTTGGTTCGCTGAATTTTACTGTTGCTGTTGCCACTTAGATTTTAGCATGTAGATAAGCAGAAAAGTATTTCCGCTCACTCTTGCACACTCTCGAAATGGGCGAGTGAAGAGTGGGGATGGAGAAGAGAGCGAGAGCGAGAGCGGATGCA